CAGAATGCTTGAAACGGTATGTATGCAGAGTTCGATTGCGTACACTGTGTGTGTTGACCATAGTGGCTCATCTTCTCCCTCCCTCAAAATAGATCCAACCCCTGTCCACCTTAAATTTCACCACTAACCTTGTATGCATTGTGAGTTTGGCAGCGTTCAGTGAAGTTCGCTTCACTGTATTTCGCTGTACGATGATGATGATGATGATGATGATGATGACTATTTGCTCAATCGCTCGACCAATAAGGGCAATATCGTTCTGTTTGATGCGTTTCCTGGTGCCTCGGTGATCTTGGCGTTCATCGTCTTCTAACATATTGCCGGAGCCTTTTTTGCATCGAATTGTCTTCTCTTGTGTTGATTGTCACCTCGATGTAAGTGAGGCTGTGCTACAAGACAAAATTAATCAATTCGATTTATCTCAATGTGTTGATTATGCAGAACTGAGTATCATGAAAACAATAACACCCCGAAAGTGGGTCTCTCTCTACTAGTTAATGTACACTTTACTGGACAAGGTTATCCTCATTACAGTTTTTCATCCAACGGATTTTCCTGCTCCCCCGACATACACACTTTGCAGGTCATAGAGATCTTTCGTGACCGTCACGGCCCGGAATACGACGTGGTCCAAGGTTACCACGGTACTCTGATCGAATTGATCGATTGTCCCGAAACATTTTACACCAGTGTGGAAGTGACGGCGGGTTCACGTCTGTTCTATCACGTGTTCGATACAGACAAACAAGTCACCCGTGTGATCGTGGAGATCAATAAGCACAATTTGCCCGGAGAGAACAATTTCTTCCCAATCAATCGTCTCTATGCACAGGAATCGAAATATCCGGAAACCAGTGTGAGTTCTGCTTTTCATTCATCGTTCAATTGATGGATGAGGTTTTGTGAACACCTAGTCTCTCAAGAAGACATGCTCTGTATTGATAGACTGCTTCTCCTATCGTCCCTCGACTATTTATTTATCATCTTTAGTTTAAACAGACAATAATCGATGTTCTTGTCTAGATGGAGTTGTGCATACTCTTCGGATCTTAAACTTACGCCTCCGAGAATTACCAAGTATTGACCGTCAGAGAGTTTAATTTTAGAGCTTGTTATCTGACTTGCACAAATTTTAATTTTACTCGTCCAACGAGGATTAGTCGGATTTATGGAGATTTTTGTGGAACAGAATTACACACAATGTCCCGTGCATCATCCACTCAAAGGTTGATCGAGTTTCGTACTCCATTCGTTCGACGATTTACTATTGAAGCTGTTTGGCAAGCGTTGAACAAGTTGCCGGATAGGGTGTCACAGGTCAAGCAGAGAGAAAGAGTTGGGAGTAGAACGCAATGAATTAAGCAAACGTAGAGCCATTGGAACAGTTGCCTACTTATCACGGGACAGGAATTTTCCCATAAGGCTAGTCTCATTTCAGTCTACCACACTGGGGTCTCTGGTTTGCTTTGCACACGGATTAATTAATTTGATGACCCAGTTGGGAATGTAAATAAGAGTATCGGTCAAAATATAAAGCGTTGACAAACAGTATGTTGATGAGGATCTTAACGCGAACCATCGCCATTGCATTAAAACGAGACAATGGAAGTGGTGGATTTGGGGGGGGGCAGCGGGAGGTGTATCTTGTGCAACTGGACCAGTTGACTCGTAGGGCAAGGTGAGTGGGGGGGGATGCTATGGACATGATTACTTCACACAAAAACAAACATGAGTTTTGTAACGGTGCGTGACGTCACTGGGGCATTGGGACGCCATCCCCCTGCCACACACACAGTGATCAGTTTTTCACCAGAGAAATTGGACAACCAGAACTAGCTTGCCTGGTTTCGGCTGTATGACAAACAAAAATTAATTGCCTCGTTCTTAGCTGACTAATTGTTGTTCTTGCTGTTTTGCTTACGTTTCGTTGGACTCGATAGGCGATTGTGGATATTCAGCGCCTATCAATCCAGTGCTAGCCTAATAAATCAAAAGGGAACTTTTTAATGGTCTCAATTCCTCAAATTCTTAGCTAACGTGAATACTGTTGCCCTCTTCCTCCTCCTCCTGTTGTTGTTGTTGCTACTGCTGCTCCCATTGGTCGTCAATTAATTCATCCATTCATTTTTGCTCATCCTAATACACCGTCTTCCTGTCCCCCTCCTTCCACCACCCAACTAACTAACCAGGGTTTTGCTTTCATTTTCTGCCTTCATCGTAGGATGCAATCCCGATGATTTCACGGCTTCATTTCGACGAGAAATTCCGTGATGTTATGGTCCACGTATTCGGGAAAACGTTGATTTGCCGAAGTATCGAAATTGCCACACAATTGGCAAGAACCAAAAATTTCGACTGTATCACCCTGGATGGTAGGTCGATCCTTTTTCCGTCGTAGCACGTGCTTTTGCATTAGTCGTGCTTCCATCTCAGAACCTTCACGGGTGTATCATTCATCACCACCACTTTATTGACTTTCTTTCTGTTGTTCTAGTTGCCGAGGTCCTTGAAATGGATTATCATTGTTCGCCGTATGCATAGGGTAGTTCAGTTCAGTTCAGTTTGTACAACCATTAATCATGCACTTTCGTGCGCCGGTTTTGGTTGCTGTCTCTTGTATGAGCATTAGGAGAAAAACAGGAAAGATGAAGACAAAGTCGAAGAACAAATGCATAAGCTAATCGCGGTGATGATGCCCATGTTATATTAGAAAGCTCAGAGCAGCACTAATCGACTGTAGATCAACTCGATTCAATCAAAGACCACACCAGGTGGCGATATAAACGAAATGACACCATATTTACTGATGAATCATATCAACTTGGACGGCCCCGACGACCTAATATACTTCTGACATGACGTGTGAAAGAATAAGTAGGACTTCAGCCACTAAGTCTGCGGTAGTCATTGCGATAGTTTAGAGAGGAAAGCTATTTTTACGTAGGCTAAATCGCGACTATCAGTTCTCGAGGGTGAGAAGACGACCGACGTTTACATCAGCATTGTAAATGCTTTCCTTCTCCCCGCAATTTCGGAAGATCCGCGTTAGTTCCCTCATATCCACCGGGATAATGACTCTAAACACAGTTCGTATCAGTAGAATTTGATTATCGCATTCAGAATGTCAAGGTCATTGACTAGTCTGCTCACAACCATGATATGAACTCCGTGCTTTAAGGGTTTTCTCACAAGGCCATTTGATGAGTCTTCGAATTGCGGTTTTGTGTCTGCACTAAATGACCGAGAATCGAAGTTGAAACTGTCGAAAATCTTTTTCTGTGTGCATTTTTCCAGTTCTAAATTATCGAGGTCGCTGCATTCGATCACCAGTTAGTTTCTTTTACCGTAGTGTCCAAATGTACGCTAAACGCATTTCACATCACCCGAGCACATTATTCGGTATAGAGGTGATTTCTCTGAGCTACATTTTAGATCTGTATAAGAGCCCCATTTGATGATAAGAAAACACATAAGAATACATGAATTTCACAACCGCACAAAAAATTGCAGAGAAAGGTNAAGGTGCCCAATAAAATGTCTTGCACTGCACATGTACTCGCCAATCTTCCGCAGTCTTGCCAACACACCACCTTTTTAGTTCATTTATAGTGTTGCTTTTCGGACGACCACTTGTATTCGTGAACTTATTCACCGATCTCCGCTTCTCTTTCATCCGTTATGCTGGTTTTTTTCCTCGCCGGAACCTAGGCGATCAGGTCTCACGCAAAGGTACCCTGACTGGCGGTTACTACGACAATCGTCTTTCCCGGTTGGAATTGCAAAAGCGAAAACAGAAAACGGAGATGGAAATCCAAGAGACAGAGAATGTGCGTGAAAACAATGCGAAACGGAAGGAACAAGTGGATGCTCAGATCAACCGCATTATCGATGACATTCAGCGCAAGGACACTGTGCGTTCCAAGCATGAGTGAGTTTTTAAAGGCGTAGGGCTATCGAATGCGCATGCCCCCGGTCTCTCTGCTGTCCCCTCCCACACACACACACACGTATATGCACCAACCCATTGGAGTGGATAAATTCTAAAAAAATGACACATCTCAGCTCCAGATTGATCTGTTACTTTTTCGAGAGAATTCGCATTTAGGTGGCTTGAACACAACGCGCTCATGTGACGAACAGTTGGCAGATCAGTACATTCTTCCGTTTTCATGTCATGGTATATTTGTCTGGGTTCAGACTGGGTGTTAAACTAACCTTAGTATAGGCATTTTTATGACCGAAGCACTACCAGTTCATCAAGAGCCTAAGAAATAACCGCGAAAGTGATCCACAACAGAATGTAAAGAGATGCAGAGGACTCATCATCATCATCATCATCGTACAGCGAAATACAGTGAAGCGAACTTCACTGAACGCTGCCAAACTCACAATGCATACAAGGTTAGTGGTGAAATTTAAGGTGGACAGGGGTTGGATCTATTTTGAGGGAGGGAGAAGATGAGCCACTATGGTCAACACACACAGTGTACGCAATCGAACTCTGCATACATACCGTTTCAAGCATTCTGACCTGATAACCAGCCAGCTGAGCCTAGCAATCTGAATTCGGTAAGCTAGCAGGTTTATACCTGACAAACTCCCAAACACACGACGGTCTATCTCCACGTTACTAACCCGTTCGCTGCATCCAAGATGGGCTAACCTGCGTAAACACCGATAATCGAAAACTTCTAGTCGACGGATATCTTCAGAAGACTGGGGCTATTTGGTCTCATTAGGAGTACAGGCCTGTGGTAAGTAAACGTAAATGATGTAATTGTAGAGTCCGACGGTCCATTAGTTCAGCAAAGCTGCTGTGCGTGAACAGCGCATACATGATAACCAGGTTGATTTAAAACCTGGTCGAGGGGTTGTACAGACCACATCCAGACTCTGTCAGATTCCGAAATACAGATATCCCTTTCTCCTGTTCACCGAGCTTGATCATTTGTTTGCAAACGTTTCATCACCATGCGAGGTGACATCATCCTTTGCTTGTGAAGTGGCAGTGTTCTGCTTGTCCCCGTTCGTTTATATATGTGTTCTTCTCCACCGACTATCTTCGTCCCGTTCTCACTGTGTTCGACTCGGTTTGCCGTTGAACCGGTGCGAGAGAGTGAGGGTGGGAGGGAGGTGGTTGTCTTTTCGTCCTGATTGCGATTTCCGTTCTTTCTCAGATAACGGCGTGACCTTTTTTGTTGCGTCATTTGGTCCTTCAGTTGCATTGGCGTGTACACGTGATCCAGTTCGATGTGCCTGTTTATTGAGTTGATTGAGGGGTGCCAAGCCTCGATAAATCTGTTTTATTCATTATTGGCCAACATCTATCACATCATGTCCAGTTTACACATTTTCATCCGGATTTTCCCTATCCAATTATCGTGATCCCATCGCTTGTTGTCAGCCGAACATTTTGCACAGACATTCATTCAACTTCAGCCTAGGCCTTGTAGTAATCTATTGACTAATCGAACTATATATGTAAATGTCTGAAGCGCGATATCGAAAAGAAATTCCTTCGCGTTTCCACTTAATTCCTTTATATCAATATCCAAAGCCGAGTTCGAGCTCATGGCACTTTTTGTATTGAGTTCACCACAGGAAGCGGTGTTTTTCAGGATTTTCTTCACCTTCTCTATTCAATTTATTTTGTAACCCACCCTGTTCTCATGTGAAGATAGCATCATCAATTTGCTCCTGGATGGAAGACTGTCGGACTGTTTGTCCGCCCACATGTAAATCATAGAACGCTTTTCTCTTTATAACGATTATTGTACCGTGCTTTGTTTGGCACAGTCTGGATTCAGACGTGTGAGATATATATATATATATATATATATCACCTGGCGGATTCATCTCGGATGACTTGTCGACACGTTGACAGGAGGCTCAATGAACGTTTTCTAACTGAAAACACCTGTAACACAGTTGTGACATTAGTCGTGTGTATATTGCACCAGTTCAGCTAGTGCTGTTGTGGGACTCAGAGACTTGAACGTTAAAAAGAGAGGATTAATATCGACTATCGGTTCTCGAACATCGCATTACACAAGTTCGGAGGAGAAATCGTACCAATAATTTCGAGGTTATTCGACGAATTTAGGCAATCTCGGTCACGCATTGGAGGTCCGATGTGTTATGCATGTCGCCAAATAAGTATTGGATAGAAACATTCAAGATATGGAAACCCTGGTCAGGGTACTTAGGTCGCGTTAAATTTCGTGGTTGTATCAGTTAATCGATGTTTACAGACACTGAATGAGTGCATTAAACATCAGCGCTCTCGTATCTACTCTTTGCAAATCTAGTTTCGCTGTCTTGTATTTTTACCTGCTCCGCCCCTCGTGGCGAAACAGTTCTTTCCTCCAGCAAAGTTGAGCACATCCTGCACTTTTACATTTTCAATTCGATTACTTGTGAGTAGTAACGTTGGATGTCATCTCGCGTACGGTTGACTGGATAGACTGAAAATTGTGCCTGAAGGTGATCAGTCAAAAAGAAACATCTGCATTCTGTTGGTCGTGGTTAGCTGATTGTGCAAGCAAGTCTCGTTTCGTTTCTGAATGTGGATTGGATCTGCCTCTGAACAGGCATAGTTATGCATCCAGACACCGATCAAAGCGGTCTTACATATCACTGTTGTCACTGTGTAACTGTATTACCCAATGCTTTTCGCGAACTGGACGCAACATCTTAACGGCATTATTGTTTAACACGCGTTTGCTTTTGTCCGCTTACAGAATGAAATTCGACACGTTGAAGAAAGATATTCACATGTGGAAAGAAGAACTCCGAACGAAACAGGAAGCAAAACCACAAAAGGAATGGAAGTTGTCCTCACTGCGTCACGATCTGGATCAGATGAAGTACACCATGGAATCATACAAGGTAGGCTAGTCAACTTGCTCCGGGCCTCATTCATCGCCTGTACCTGTGTACTCGTGAATCCGTCCCCCATCCACCCTTGTCCACGTTTTAGCGTGATAATCTATTTTTTTATATTTTTAAAATATATATACATACCACCGGCTTGTGGACAAGCATGATACCAAAGTCCCAACAATAATAACAATAACAATAACTGGATCCGGGGTTTGAGATACAGAGCGTAGTAAAAAAGCCGAAACTGTTAAAACGGAAATTGCAATTAAATGGGATAACAACTTTTTTGTTTCACGGTACACTTTTTGAAATTTTTGTGTTTTAGTTAGTTTATTGTTTTTTTTGGCGGGTGGGGTGTGGGTACGAGATTTCAACAGGCAGACCGTACAACATTCGCGCCACTGACATCTATTCTGGGCCATATCTCTCAGCGTCTCTAACTAACGACAATACTCGTCCATTGGGCCTCAACCTGAAAGGCGGGCGGCACCAACCGAAGCCAAAGCTGAAGCCAGCTTCTTCATGCCTTTATGCCATGTCATGGTCCAGCCGCCGCAGCGCTTCTTTTAGCCTTGCCCGGCACAGGTGAAGAGAGCACGGAAAGGTAGTCGATGGGCAGGCATACGCAGTACGTGACCAAGCCACCGGGGGCGGTGTAAAGCGATCACTTCCGTTAGAGAGCGACTATTCACACCCAACACATGATGACGGACCTCATCACTGCTCACCCGATGTTCCCACCAGACACGAGAAATGCTTCGGAGACATCGGTGGTTGCATACAGAAGGTTGATTAACATCCTCAGTGTGGAGTGACCGGGTCTCGCAACCGTTAAGGAGAATGCTACGAACCGCGGCGATATACATCCCTTATTTTTTAAATGGCAGTTATCACATTGGGACGTAGTTGCCCTATGTGAGCCGCACTTTTAGGACCCAACAATGAGTTTCGTCAGAATCCTAGCATCCCGTTTACTGTTCTTGAAAATGTCACCTATTGGATGTAATGTGGAGTTATTGTAGCTCGGGATGCGTATATTGGTGTTCGTAGAAGCGCTCCTAGTTGTCCCACTGATGGTTATCTACGGATCAAAGGTATCATTCTATAGTGCTCTTGTTCAGATGCTTCTTCTTCCGGTTAGTGCTCACATGATCGTCCTCCGTAATGCCGTGTTCAATGAAAACATATCTACTCACTCATCGGTAACTACCTAATCGTTTATGGTAATCCGAGAATGTCAACTCTCAACTACCGGCTAATTAGACAAACTAGTCTGTGACACGCTAGTAGTGTGCAGAATTAGCCGCAACTGTTTTCTAAACCAACCCACTCCGATCAACTGAATCGTAATTCAAGTCAAGTCAAGTCAAAAATCGCTTTATTCATCCTAATGAATGGATTCTCAGCTTCTTACACACACCAGGATCATTTATCATCGCATACGGTCACGAAGAAAAGAGTAACAAACCGTAAGTTCAAAGGAAAAGAGAGTAAAAGTTTAAAAATGAATATCACTTGCGTAAACCTTTCAAAAGGTTTCCTCTAACGCATGCCTTTTGAATCAGAAATCCCAAAAGATACGGGATAACGCATAGACGAAGGGTAGTGGTACAATCATACACAAGTTTATAATGACATCTAGTTATAGAAGTGGATATGCATTGTTGAAGTTCTGTGAGCAACGCGTGAGCGGTGTCTGATAGAATACTGTTGCATAAGTTATCGCAAGAGGTAAAATTTTTTTCAACGATAAAGTGAACCCAGTGCAAATGAGGAATACCGCTTGCGCGAGAAATAATCATCATAAACTGGCGTGGAATTGTGCAATCTATCCCGTTCATTCCGTTTCCGTTTGTACAACCATTAACCATGCACTATCGTGCGCCGACTTCGGTTGCCCATTTGGATAAACATTAGGAGAAAGCCAGGAGACGTTGAAAGTGGGATCG